CTTTTCATCTCCTTGATATTTTACATAATGAATAGAGTGGTTTCCTAGGTTCTTGAGTCTGGTCTCCTCCTAGACTAACATATTGTACAATTCACATTTCATTTGTCTTTCATAGTGTTATAGTTCATCTGGAATAGACCATATTTAAACGGTAGTGAGTTCAAAATGAACTGCACAAGAAAATTTTCTTCCACTGCCATTCTAAGAGACTTGAGTTTTGTTGTGATATTTGTCATCTTGATTACGTGTTCATGCATACTATAAGAATCATCAAACTTCATGGTGATCAATGTACTCATCAATGTCCCAACGAGGGATTTGTCAGTAGTTTGGGAGCGCTCTTTCACAAATTTCATAAACTCTTTCACATTCTCAGTTTTAGGAAAAACAAACTTAATATTGTTTGCTATACTGATTCGCATAAATATAAGGATAAGTCTGTTTGACTTTTTCCAAGCTCTATAATGAGTTTTCTCTTCATTGTTACTAGCATTAGTGATAGTAGTCAGTTTTTCAACTTAGAAAGCTAAATCAAGATCCAACACACCTAATTGAAATTGGACTTGTTTATTGCAGTTAGGAAAATTTAACCCATTAAAGACTGATGAGATGAGCGAATGTAGAGATATAGGAAATGATACAGCAATTAACATATGTCTAACATTAACGCTTTGAGTCATAAAAACTAAACATAAATACATATTCAAACATAAATAACTATTTTATGCATACTAATGTTCTCTTAAAGATCCACTAACACACAAACATATTGACGCTAACCATTTTAAAATATTAATGATAATTAAAATATGCATCCATCATAATCATATAACATCTTTGTGTATATAAATAAAATTAGTGACGCACACAAAATTATCTATCATCATTAATTATAATAACAACTAATCAAACTTTAGGTGATCCTAAAATGCCTTATAATAATAAACTTCAATTATCCCATAAATCAATTATTCATAATTTTAGCATTCATACTAGGTAATTGAAATAAAATCATTAATAATTTGAAATCAAATAACCTTAAAATTTTGGTCACTTTAGTTACTAACAAAATTTATCATGATTAATTTCAAATAAATAACATCTTTAATTGCTATTAATCATTCATAGTATTTTTTATTAATTTTAATTTAGAAATACCATATACCAAAACAAACACATTATTTCAAATTAAAAATACATTATTTATATAATAAAATATATATCAACATTAATTCTATCGTTGACATAAACCAATAACATCACTACACTTGAATCTAACTCTTTCTAAACATATGCACTTTTGGGAGAAAATTATAATGGCATATAACAGATAAAAAATTAAATAAACAAATAACATCATCCAAACGACTTATGATTTTCAATACCTGTAATTGGACATGTGTAGCGTTGCAATTGAAACACTCAATTGAATCGAATAGCACCATTCCATTAATTTCAATCATAAATTCATTCATGGATATGGAAACGTTTCGGTGCATTCCATTCACGCATCCACTTGACAATTAAATTGGATTTGAAGACATAACCAATGCAGTGACCATGCACAGCGGAAAAACCATATAACCAATTCATAAATTTATCATACACAACGAAAAATGTAAAATTCCTAAAACTTTTAATTAGGGTTTGTAAACATATTTGGGGATAAATTATGGTTCATGCTAATTTGATAGAGAAATCCCTAAATTCATAATTAAATTTTATCTTAATTTGAAAAAAACATAATTTAGGAAAAAATATCATAAGAGAAGAATCATAAATCTAATAACCTGACTATGATACCACATGTCAATTATTTTGTAATTTTCTTACGTTCCTAAATCATTCCAAAAAACTACTCTACAAGATTTTTAGATTCATGATTCTCACACAATAACATAAATCATAATAAGGAGACTAACATTGATCCATGAGAGATATCTAATGAAAATACATTTTTTAATGTCTTTATTCTTCAACCTTTTTTTCTTAATCTATGTCTTTGTTTTTCTTTCTCCTGTTACACTTTTTTCTTATGGTTTACTGTAAAAAGAATCTTATGGCCAGAGACGTAACCATAATATCTTTTTATTAACCAATGTCCATCAAGTTAATTATAATAAGTTTTTTTTTATTTTATCTTTATTTTATTATTGACTTCACATAATACCCAATAGGTCCTTATATTTTATTAAATCACATTTGGACTCATCATTATATTTTACATGAGTCACATGATAGAATTAATTAAATTAAGTAATTCTAACATCAACCAGTTCAAAGATTTCCTAGTGCCACACATGACTTATGCATATTACGTGTCATATTTGATCATGTATAGGCAAAGGAGATAGTTTGTACGACTTATTAAATATTTTTTATTACTCCATCAAATATTAACATTTATTTTTAGGTTATCTGGACTCCATATTGAAAAAAATTCTCTTACACGATTAACAAATATTAAAATTTCTCCTATAAGTCATACTGTTATACCACTCATTTGTTTTGTAACCATTGAATATTATCAAGTTGATTGAGTTAAAAGAAGTTTGGTCTTCACTAACATATTCATCAAGATCCAATGAATATAAAGAAGATAAGAGAGGAAAAACCAATTTATACTAACCAGATTATCATCATAACTAGATCGCAATGTAGAACAATCATCATAATCGCTTAATCCAAGAAACTAAATTTCAGATAAACCATCATTTATATGAAATTACACAATATATGCAATGGTATTTACAATACACTAGACGATATATTTCTCCTAATTAGTCACACGATATAAATGAAGAAGTAAGTACAATATATTAAATATATCGTAATATTTTTTATTTGTTCAGTTTGATGCATCACAGGAACATCAAACACAACAATCCGACCAACAAACTTTTCGATAATTCACGTCACAGTCCACATGTACACATGTTGGTTAATCTATTTCAACTACCTTCATTCTATGGATATGGGCCAACTCCAAAATATATGAGATCAATTTCAGTTTAGACAAGTTCTTTACACATTAATGTGTTTTCATCTTCATCAAATATATTTATCACCACCTCAATGATATCATCATCATCACATAATCAAACACGTTTCATGAATTATTATCACTCAATTTCACCTACACAAACATCATATGATGACAAAAATAATAATAATAATAATAATAATAAATAGAAAATGGGCATTCCATTGTCGGAACAAGTATTTATCCTAAGAGAAAGACCAAGACATAATATTAGAAGATCTCGTTGTGGAACAAGTTTTTGTCATTAATTTTTTTACTATATTTTCCTGTTTTTTAAAGTTTTTAATATATGTTTTATTTTTTTAACGTGTATTTAATTTCCTTTTTACTTAACATATTAATATTTTATTTTTAATAATTTAATATATTTAAAAATTATTTAATATTATTAATCTCTAAATATCAATTAATTATTTATTTTATAAATGTTAAAATAAAACTTCTAATAATTAAAAATAAAAAATTAAGCTAAACAAATTTATATATATATATATATAACTAAAGTCATATATTAATTAATGACTTGAGTATATAAAAAAATAAAATCACATTCAACTAAAATTGTTAATAAAAAAATAACTTCAAACAAAAAAAATTATTTATTAAAGTTATGGATTGGAACACAACTTCACAAAAATATAAGAAATGGAGTACAAAGAAAATATATATGTATAAAACTTATGTAAAAAAAATAAAAACAAAATTGTGTTTTAAAATATTACTTCAACGGTTCATAACACGACCTATTTATATTTTATTTTTTTTTAAATTACCCATTGAAAATAAATAAAATCAATTACACTAGTTTGGAAAGTAAGCTTATGTCCACGTACCTCCTAATGTTTATGAAAAAAAAAAAAAAAAAAAAGTAATATAGAGGTGGCGTATTACTTTCGCAACTCAAGTCTATTTATAAATGATGGAATTTTAGTACACCAACCATTGAAAAGTTGTATGTATTTTTCCTGTGGCAACAGGGTCCCTGCGCTGGACACAATCTTGTTTCTGCCTTTCCCTTCATCTCCAGGTTCTCCAACCAGTATCAAATTTTATGTGATATTCATATCTATATTCTCTATTTCTAAAAGATATGCATACTCCCATTCAAAATCTGGATACTTGTTAACAAAGCATGTAAATTGTAAAAGACCATACAAGAGCTAGTTTTCTTTTTGCACTAATTTCAGTTACTTCACCCCTCTCCTCCCAAACAAAAAGATTAGGGAAAAAAAAGTCCGGATGCTTTAATAAGGAAACGGATGATGGATGAATAAGTTATTGCTATATAAAGGAAATATATTTCTTGAATCTCTATATATCTAATTCTTATGCCATCTACAATTCGTATATTTACTTGATTGCTACTGTGAACACATTTATTTTCAATTTTGAAATGAAACACAGGGAAATATGAAGTCAAAACTTGGCAGGTTAAGTTTTTACTAGTTGTGGTATAGGCAGGTGAAAAACAAGAAAGTGGGGGAGGATTTTGAGGTGTATCTTTGTGTACAATAAACCATACGTTCACACCTATTCCTTAGTGTGAAGGTGAGTCTAATTCTTATATTTATGTGATGATTGCCAGTTTAAAAGTGGGCATTTCTTATATCCTCTACTTAACTTTCTCCTTCTCACCCACTTCTTGGATTTAGAATCAAATTTCCTTACAAATTTGGATACCCATAAATAATCCCCCCAAAGGAGGTTTGTTCCATTGTTTTCAGTTTTCGTTTCAAAATATTAGTATTCATGTTCATGATTTATTTAAATTCAGATAAAGTTAGCTCTGAAGAATGAAAGTTGAACTTACTGTGATTGAAAACAAAACAGGTATTATTAGAGATATAAACTGCTAGTTATAGGTTAGTTAAATGAGTTAGAAAAATAGTTCGGAGATTAGTTGTTTATATTAGAGATTTCAGTTTTATATTTTTCTCCCAATTTTCTCCTTTGAATCATGTTTTCTAACAGCTTTCTAAAGTGGCCGATGTTTGTCAAATGTTTGAGCTTCTTCTGTTTGAAGCATACAAGTTCGTCTCAGCGACAGTATCCAACTGTGATAGAAGAGCTATGCCCGCAATTTTCTCTTGCCGATCTTAGCAAATCAACGAACAACTTTGACGAAAACCAGATAATTGGACGTGGAGGCCTTGGTATTGTGTATAAAGGTTCTCTCCAAGACAATTGTGTTACTGATACAGTTGCAATCAAGCGAATATGTGGGAGCACTGAGGAGGAACTTAAGCAGTTCAAGAACGAAATTGAGTTGCTCTGCCAGCTTCGCCATCCAAATTTGATGACTTTGTTAGGATTTTGTGACCAAAAGGACGAGAAGAGTATTGTATATGAGTACATGGAGAAGGGATCTCTCCATGATATTCTATATTGTACTGATATTAAAATGGAACCATTAACATGGAAGCAGAGGCTAAAGATCTGCATAGGAGTAGCAAAGGGACTACATTACCTTCACACAGGTGTCAAGAGAACAATATTTCATCGTGACATAACGCCTTATAAAATTCTTTTGGATAGCAACATGGTGGCCAAACTCTCAGACTTCCGGCTTTCCTTAACAGCACCAAATTATGCATCAAAGCAAAAACCAAAGACAATAATATTAAAAGATGGCTTTATAGGTATATATTTTTATTTTGTTGCTAGTTTATTGAAAAGAATTTTACTAAATAATAATCCAAATAATACTTTCACTTATAGGTACATTTGGGTACGTGGCTCCTGAGGTTTCAGCAAACAGTACAGTAACAGAAAAAAGCGATGTTTACTCCTTTGGTGTAGTTCTACTGGAAGTGGTATGCAAAGACAAGCTAAAAAATGTTGAGAAGAGGCAGAAACACCCTGTTGAGGAGAATATTGATCCAAATATCAAAGGAAGGATTGCATCAGAGAGTTGGGAAGTATTTGTGGATATCACAGAGAGATGCTTGATGTTTGATCCAAATGACCGACCATCAATGGGTGAAGTGGAGGCTCAACTTGAGCTTGCTCTGTCACTGCAAGAAGAAGCAGATATAAAAAATCCTTGTGATGATTATACCTTATTATCTGTGACAATTATTAATTAATCCTCGACTACATTAGGCACTAGGCACCATCTTTAGCTGAAAACAAAACTGATGATTGGTGGAACTACCAAGGTTGTCTCAATGATAACAATGAAACTCGTTATTCAATCACAGTAGAGCAGATGATTAGGAAACATGGGAAAGGATTTGAAGTTGAAGAATGAAATTGAGTTCTTTGCCATCATCGTCACTATATGCTTAGTCTCTCTAGAAAGTTTTTAAATTTGTGAGTTTGTGTCTTCCAACTAATTAAACTGGTAGTTTTCTCTTTTAAATCCCATCACACGTGATAAGTTAGCCAATGAGTATGGCTTAGCAGTGTTGAAACTTGAAAAATAATAGGTGGTGCAGAGGTTTCCAGCAGGGTGTTTGGTCCTATTCTCATAGGAAATATGGTACCAAAATGTTGGGAAGTATTCATGGATATCACAGAAAGATACTTTAAGTTTGATCTAAATAAGCAAACTAATGAAGGGTGGGAAGGGGAAGTGTGACATAAATATGCTCTATTGTCGCAGGATTAAGATGATATCAGAAAAAACTAACGATTATAACCAAGGTGGATTATTATAGGTAGGCAAATAAGAATCAAGAAAATTAACTTATGCTCACAATTTTTTCTAGGTCCTACTTTTTATTAAAAAAAATTATAATCATCAACTAATTAGTATGTTACTTAAAGAATGAATAACACTTTTCAGAAAAGGAAGAAACTCCTAAGGTTTGCATGCCAAATGATGTTTAGTAATGTGAAAAAGAAGTGAGTGAAATTATCAAGGATGTTGGAGAGGAAGTTGTTATGGTGGATCTAAAACTAAATAATATTTGTAGAATTTAACTTTAATTGTTGTTTTGATAGACGTTGTTAAAAAGGTACGAGAATTGACTGAGGAGATTCATAGATCAAATTTTTAACACATTATGATACTTAAAATCAACTTTTAAAAAAGAGAGTAGTTAATTCAAGAATAAACGATAAAATAAAATTTATTGATTGAATGTCTTATATAGGACTCAAGATAATCATAATAGTATATTATATATAATAATCCAATAAAATAATTATTTATATAATATATTATATAAAAGTAATAATAAATAATTAATAAAATAATATATGATAAAATAATTAAATAAATATTATAATTTTAATGAATATAAATAAATCATGGTTCACATGTTAACTATGTACATATGAATTCAAATATATTTAATAAAAGTAGGAAAAGGGTTTTGCTCACTTATGTTTATGTGATTCCTCGTTCCAACCCAACATGCAAATACTCTACACATTGTTTTCCTCACTCCTAATGTGTATTAATATTGTATCTAAAAATAAGAGTGTTTGAAATTCATATCTAATATTGTGTTTAAGAATAAGAGTGTTTGAAGTTTATATATAATGTAATAACATCATTAGAGTCAAGTATCACATCCAAAGTATTGTCTATTTTGAAAGTTTAATTTATCATAATTTTGTCTTTAAAAGATGTTTCAGTGATTTGAAAAATATATATATAAACTATAACTGAACTTAGTTTCTAAATAATATAAACTCAGTATATTACATGTTGTTAAGATAAAACTCTTTTTACTCATACATATGGATTCATACAACCTTATTTAGTGTGTCCATTCTCCTGTATCGGTCTAGAAACAGGGGAAGTGTACTACTATTTCAATGTTATTTCTTCTTAAGTTACTCCACTATAATATTCCATTTATCAATTTTCTAGTTTGCAGTGAGAAAACTCTTCAAAACGACATAAAGGACTTTTCTTACAAAAGTATCTTCATATTAGGCTAAGTCCTGAATCTTTACTTATTTGTTCTAGCCTTATATGATGTGTTTGTCAAAAATATACAAAAAAATCTTCCTAAATACATACTTTTTTATATATACTTTGGAAAGAAGCATCGAACGAAATATAACATAAATTATAGATTAATTTCAGCAATTATTTTAAACAGAAAGTCAACGCTTTGAGTTTGGTCATAAATAAAGTGTTCGTGTTCACGATGCATTCAAATCAGGGTAGAAACTTAGACTTAAAACTATTTTAGCTGAATATTATTCATGGTCATTGACCACCGATACAAATATAATGGAGTAATGTATACCAATTTGGGCTTAGTTTTCAGAGCACACAAGTTCGTCTAAAAAGCTATCGGTCACAACATAAATAAGAAAAGAACAATGCCGTCAACTTTGACGAATAACGAGTAATTGGACAAGGAGGCTTTCATTCATTGACGAATAACAATGAGCAACAGTTGCCATGTTGCTTCTCAATAATATAATCATCTTTTCAATTGCATTTGCATCCTCGCTTTCTCTATCAGTGTTTGTTTGTTATTGGTGATACAAAAACTTTTATTACCGACCAGATTCTATTTGTTTCATAATGTTTTTATTTACGAACTAAGTCTCTTGCTTAGGTTTAACCAACATTCAAATTTTCTTCTTTCCCTATTTTTTTTTTTCGTCTAATCAAAGTACAATAAAGCAGAAAAGAAGTTCTATCTCGATGTTACTTTTCCAATATTTTAAGGAAACGAAAAGTATTCATTCAACAGCAATTTAGTTTAATTTTATACAATGCAATAACTCTAAGCGGGATTTAATGATCATTTCTTACTAAATATTATCATTAACTCCTCCAAGTCCATGCTGGATAGTAACAGAATCACCAATCACCATAAACTGACAAGAGATTAAGCAAAGCACTACAACATATCAGCTTTCTTACAATTTTGGAAAACACGAGGAATTTATGTACTCATGTTAAGGTAGAAAACACTTGTTATTAGAGTCGCAAGCAAAAATATTGATTGGAGCAAACTGGCTAAAACAAAAAGTCGGGGGTGTAGATAAAAGAAGCAGCAGCCCTAAGGAGTCCTCCAGGATTCTCAAACCGTAAATCTCCATTAACCAGCAGTGTTAATGGAACATCAAACGCATGTAAACTCATTTGATGCCAAGCACTCCTTCTTCCTTGTAATGTGCCTCTGCATTGTCATGATATCTTACCACGGTGAACCTAGTGTTGCCATAGGATCAGTGGCAAGTTACAGGTTTTCTTTTCTAATTGTCTAGGAGGGTAACTCGCAACATTAATCAGAAGACACCGACACTTTTAACAAGTAATACTTGCAATATAACATAAGTTTTATGTTGCAAGTAAGACTTGTTACTAATTACATGATACACAAGCTAACTTTCAAAATTTAACTCCAGAAAGAGGAAAAGGAAGAGGGGAAGGATGAAACCTGTAACTTCCACACAATAATAGGACTTAAATAATAAGCCAAATGCACATTCTTATTTCATGTGGGTAGGGCTTGACAAACAATTTAACCAATGAATGTTCTCAGAGGATCTTTGAGATTTCTACCAATAACTTATGCAGGGCTTGAGGCTTTGAGAAAAAAGGAGAATGATCAGCCCCCTTCAAACGGAAAACCTTTTCTGGGGGGCTTGCATTTATCATGTTCTCCTGGAGTGAAATGGGTGTGGCATTATCTTCAAGAGTTTGTATGTAAAACCGCCTAACAGATCCATATTTCAGGTCTGAAAGGGAAAGCTTCTCTAAAACTGGTGCAAATGGTACAGACCTCATGGAGACAGATGCTAATGCAACATCCTGCATTTAGAAAGCAAGAAACAAGGAGGGTCAGGGGAAATATATATATATATATATATGTATGTATGTATATATATGTATGTATGTATATATATGTATGTATGTATATATATGTATGTATGTATATATATGTATGTATGTATATATATGTATGTATATATATATAAGCTCGCAAACCATGAAAAATGACAGAAACAATTAGACTCTAAATCACACATATAAATGTATATTTACATAGTAGTCAATATATTTAGAAATGCATCCCCTAATGCTAGGGACAATTTTGGTTAGCTAGGGAGAGATTCTGACAGCAATAATTCCAACAAAAGACTGTATTCCAAAATATATTATACTTTTAGTGTTATGGCCCACAAAGCATATGTAAAGCATCTATCTGAAGTAACAGATAAAAGATAGTAAAATCTTTCTGAAAATGCTATATGCTCAACAGACAACATTGAAAACTATCCATTTGGAAAATTATGAAACACTGATAATGCAGTTGCTGCAGCTCATCTAAATTGCACAATTTCAATTATCATCCAACATATATTTTATGTGTTAATTCTCACTCTGATTAGCATGGAGTGGAGTCCACAGTAAATTTAAATATCAAATAATTAAATGGTTTACACTTTACACATAAAAATCCAGTAACAAATGCAGAAAAAAAAAACTTTGCAAAATCTTTATATCAACCAGAAAAGGAAAGGAGGAATTTGTCCACCACCCAAGCTACTTACTTTGGAGGGACTTTGGTTGAATAACAAATCCTTCAACAATGACTTGTCCAGATCAAAAGAAGTGGGAGGACGATCATTCCCATTAGCATATATAAAAATCTGAGCCTGTTGCATAAGATCGTCTGAACCTGCCTGCAACATATAGCCACAATCAAATCATCACAAAAAGGATAGAAGAATTCGTCATTATTGTAACCACATATATAGCCAGCAGAAATTATAAAATAGTTCAGATGTTCTCTGTCTCTGTTTTCAACCTTTGTCCCTTCTAAAATATAAACATTTTATTCTAAAGTAGGGTGATATCATAAATCTTTGTGTCAATATTTTTGGTAGAGATTTTCAGATCACAGATCGAGTAAAAATAAAGAAGAATCAATCTTAAGGCTAGCAGGAGATGAGAAACCTGTTGAGAAATAATATCGAGAGTGCTTTGTCCACTACTCAGCATTGCAGCAGCAATAAACACAGCTTTGGAAATCTTAAGAGGAAACATCTCCATTGCATATGATATACATGCCCCTCCAAAATCGTGCCCAACCAAAATCACCTTCATGAGAATTCAAAAGGTAAGAAATATATGGAAAGAAAATTCCTAGTGAGCTCAAACTTACATTTTGTACTACCAAATATTGAATCCTAGCAAGCAACGATGCCAAATGACACAAATCTGAGTGTCCTCCCAGGAGCAAAGTGAGGGTGAAACATTTACATTTCACACGGAGTATTTTAATTGGAACAAACAAAGACTACAGAGTTAAGAAAACTAAAAATTGTAACAATGAACATGATTACCTCAAACTAAGTCTGAGTCTGTTCCGAATACAATTAGTATAATCAGTGCTATGATATACATTTTAACCCACAGAACAGTCTAGAGGGAAAAAACAAAATATTGCAACACTCTTAACAATGTCACCCATCTCACACATATCTAAAGCAGTTTCAAGGAAGTTACTAATTTTTTTCAGAATAGATAATTTGAAGTCATAACTGAAATTGCCTGTATTTAGATATATACAGAAGATAACCACGTAATTTTTCCTTCCCTACTTGACCACAAGTTGGGAAATAACTTGTAAACCTTACTATTTGTAAAATAGCACTTGCAAAATTCAATCCCAAACATCAATAATTTCCTCTGAACCTTTTCTTCCCTGGAAGTACAATTGCTAGCACCCCCCCTTTTTGTCCTAAATTTTTTCCTCAATTAAATCACATTCCTCTTATTTTAAACTACAATATTACATATAGGATACTTTTAGCCATGAGAATACAAGTTCCTTATTGTCCCATTAACCATTAATCTACTTTGGAATTCATAACTACACTACAAAGTGTATTTGGAGGGGGTGGGAGTGATAAGTCACGAAACCATAACTTTCACCAGAAGTTGCGATGACTGAAAAATATCATATATGTTAAAAGCCACGCATTATATCTCCATCGAAATACTTCAAACCAACACAGCCAATGGAGATAAATAATAAAGACAGAATACATCAATCTATTAGTTACAAAAAATTGAAAGCAGTAAGTACCTTTTGGCCTTCTGGAAGTTTTTCAAGGAAGTCAGTAAGTGGCTTCACATATTGTGACAAACTTGTAATGCTGTTTGTATCAAATGAACTCACTCCAGAACCAGTTAAATCTATTGCAGCTACTTTATAACCACTTTCTTCTAGAAGTGCAATAGATTTATACCAACACCAGGCCCCGAAGCCACCTCCATGAACGAGAACAATATGATTTGTCTCAAGATCATCTACCTTCACATCCTGCCAAATTGAAAAGCTTCATATATACGCTAAAGGAAACACACCGACAAAGATGACAAGAAAGGATGAAATAAAGAACAGTTCATATTTGAACTAATAAACAATAATGTGCTTGCATTTTCAACTAAAACTGACAAAAGGCAACATGAAAGCGCTAGCAGCATGCCATTTTTTGCTAAAGTTACAAATAAGTAAATAAATAAATAAGAATAGATTGCTGTTTTATGCGACACCATACTAGTGTCAACAGAAGAAGGAACTTTTGTAATATAAAAGTTTGACTAAGAAAATGACACAACATATGCAATCTCAAATCAGCAAGTGTGATACTAGATCCATCTGAATTTCTATGTCACTTTAGAAACCTAGACATCTATATCGTGGCATGAAAGAGGCAAAACAAGGTTCCCTTCAAAGCTACACCAAACTTCCAGTAAAAAACACTTCAAAGGGACAAACTTCACCTCCTTCATACGCCCTCCCATCATTCAAAACTATAACACATTATTCTGGTACAAAATACTATTCTAAGTATCCATAGCACATGCCCCGGGATGCTTTAACACATGTCTGCACAATTGCCTCTCCAACTAATAATTGTATTAGATGCAAATGAAAAGTTATTTTATTTCCCAACACTGTTCCAATAAAGGGAGCCAGACGAAAAAATTAACTGACCATCACAGACGATCCGTTCTAAAATTCTATCGCTTTCTACAACATTCCCTTCCATTCCACATCTTCATCTACTTTAACTTTAAGAAACCACATCATCGTAGAAGCCCCCATCAAGTAATTATCAACTCCATATGTTCAACCAAAACCGGAAGTCGGATTTTAAAAAATACTATAAACTTCTAAACCGCCAACATGAATACGCTTCCTTTCACTTCATAAAAGGCTTTTATAAATGAAAAATCTAATAACCAGAAAACAATAACCCCTACTACTCCAAAAATTACCTTAATCACCAAAAATTCCAAAATCACCCGACAGGCGTACAACAAACCAAATCCACCAAAAATAACTAAATTCTCAAAATTTACAAAATCACTGGATATGAGTCCAACAACAAACCAAATCAACAAAGAAAAATAATTCCTTAAAAGATCACGCAATGTCTCCTTTTTTTCCTTGAAGGGTTCTAAATTGCGATATAGTCAAGGTTTTGCCTTTTAGGATTTTCGCAGCGATAATAATCCGCAATTTCCTAAAATATCAATGATCGCGACAAAACCGCAACAAGGACCTACTAATCAAACCGTGACGATCGAGTTGCATCCCCCACAATAAAAAAAATCACAAACGTTGTTTGCAATTTTTTTTTTTTTCATTTAAGTCATCCAAGGGTTCACCTGATTGAGAAGCTGATGAGGTTGTAGGAGAGGGTCGGTGAGGGACCTGGCCCTGGAGCTCGAACTCCTCGGCAAGGTGTTGCTGCTGCTGCTGTTCTTCTTCGAGACTCCATTCGGGTACCTAAGCGAAGTGGAGCGATCGAAGTTCTGCTGCTGCTGATGCTGCTTGAAGAGAATCGCGGCGGCGATGGCCTGCTCGCGAATTGCGGCGTCGTCGAGCTTCCTCTCTCTACGGGAGGAGGAGCGCTTCTTCACGGCGGAGGAGTGCGGCGGCGCGGGCTTCGCCTTCAAACGAGCGCATATGTTACCCATTGTAACAATCGAAATTGAATTGAATCAATTCGATAGTGATGGTGGTGATGGTGGCGCATGCAACAGAAGAGAAGCAAAGAGTGTGAAATAAGAGGGAGAGAAAAAAAGAGAGAGAGGAAGTGAAGCAAAACGTGGCGTCGTGAGGTGGGGATTAGGAAGTTTCAGTCAGGTGTGGATTGGCAGCAACAGGGAAAAAGAGACTTTGTTTGTTTACAGGAAATAACGTTTCTTCGTTTGACGACGTACGCTTCCAAATACGTTTCTTTCAAATTCAATATTCAATATATAATAATAATAATAATAGTAATAATAATAGTAATAATAATAATAATAATAATTATTATTATTATTATTATTATTATTATTATTATGATCGCGAAATGATAGTTTGAAATTTCGTTTTCGAACGGGAAACGTGTCTAATATAATATCTCTCTTTACCAAACTTTGTTCACTTTTTCAAAAGTTAAAAGAATGTTTTCTCACCGTAAAAAAACGTAATTTACGTTAACAGAAACTTTTTCCGAAATTGTCCAAACGTAATCTTGACTTAATAAAGGTTTTCATAAATCATTCATGAAGAAGGATTTTCGTGTCAACAATAGGATTTGATCCGACATTGTTGTAAGATATGAGTTGTTGTTTTTTCTGGAAAGGTATATGACATGAGTTCAATCTCCAACTATTGGATCAACGTGTGTTTTTTGGTTGGAACCAACATTTGTTACAGTTTTATTTTTTGTTTTTCTTGTCTGTGAAAGAGGGTTTGAATTCAACATGTTAACTAGAAATGATATTTAGAGAGAATATGAACTTGGCTTAGAAAGAAACCATCTTTATTGGATTTGAATGATTTGGTTATTTATTGCATTGGTGAATGCAGATTCATATAGACATGTCTTTTACAGTTTATAAAATCTCTGATCCCGAAGTTACATGGAATTACTTTTGTTGAAAGCATATATAAAATGTGGATTAATTTTAAATTTTACATCTATTTTCTTTCTTACAGTTATTGTATCATTGATAGTATATTGTGATTTTTAATATATTCTTGATGTAAATTTTAATTAAAAAAATCAATTTCGTTAATTAGATTCTTTAAACACTAGTTAATAGATTCTTTTTTATTCATTTTATATATTATTTTTGAAAAATAAAAAGGCTTGTAGACTGTCTGCAGCAAAATAGAAATTAATTTTATTTTCTAAATTTTATAAAATCAATCCAATAAAATAAAAATTATAAGACTTCATATTATCATTTTAGAATAATTTTTCAAGTTTGAGAAATCCTAAAGATCAGCAAGTAACAAAATAGCTTGTATGTGTCCTCCAAATATTAATATGGTATCATATAAAAATAAACTTAGATACTTTGCAGCAAAAAAAAAAATCATGTTTTTTTAGAATTGCAAGAATTATTGACCTTGTCCTTTTGAGATTTTTTTGGGAATTATTTTCTTTCTGAGAATTTGTTTATAAGTTTTTTAGACTCTTGAAAAGAATAAAAAAGATTTAACATCTTGATTAAGTATTTTGAAATATTATATTTTATGTATGATCACATAAAATTTTATGCCATAAAATTAACCATTAAATTGATATAAATAAATTATAAAATTCGTTAAGTTTATGTTAACAAACTTATTAAATAAATTAAAACAAACTAGAAGAATTACGAGAAATTATAATTTTTTTTATCCTCTCTAAGTAGGTGATTGATAAAATAATATATATTTCTATAAGAAAAAAAAATTCAATGTTTCTATTTTTAATTCCTTAATAAATGTGGATGATAGGTAGTAATAGTAGCAATTGGTTTTTAATAGCATGTGTAAGGTCATGAATGCTCTTTCCACCTACTTCAGCCATTTTTCTAGGAGGCAATGAAGGGTTGACTCAGTTTAATATATACCATGTCCCTTAGAATAAATAGGGCAACCAAAATTAGTTGAACCTCACAAGCAAATTGATCTAACTACATAAATGTCAATGTGATTTTTTTTGTTAACATTACATAAATATTAATGTGAATAGAGTCTTCATTTAGTAGCCTATAAATTGAGGTAATTTTTTTATCTTATATTTGGTCCATGTTTGATTAATGGAGGCAAATTTTTCTACCATATAAGCTCCTTTTTTTATTTGGTTCCATTGAAACTTAATCAGATATAGTATATTGTATAAGAATATGTTATTGATTCTAGAAATATATAATAACAATAATCACTAATATAATGAATGAAGTACAATTTCTATATTAATATCAATGGCATTCCTTAATTCTAATCCTTTTGTAGACATGAACATTAAAGCCATCCATGGACAATTAATGCAATAATACTTAAGCTTATCTATTCATGTGCTCGACAAAAGTAAAGACTTTCTCGACCTATGATACATGCAAAACCATGTTACTTTGTCCTTTCAAACTTGTTTCTTCATTTTGTTACAACTTACTTCTTTACACAAACTTTTAAATAAAAAATTATATGATTCACATATATACATGATTAAGATCATAATTTTTGCAAGGTCAGATGATTACTTCATAAAAAATATCTATGATCTCACCCTAAATTAGTTTTTAATAATTTTTTTTTACATAAATTTTCTAAATTTCTATATATTAACTTGTGCTTAAATTAATTTTAGTTTATAAGAAAATTATTTTAACTCGTACCATTTTGTGTCTCACAGTTTAATCGTATTAATTTCTTTAGTGTTTGTGAAGTTTGAATGAGGAATAAGATAATGAATTTTTCTTTTACGTAATTGTTAATATTTATAGTTATAACCCACAATTTTTTCTTCATTTTCTTTAACTTCGACCATCAAGCTTTATTTTCTACAATTGGATGTTTACTGATTATTTTGAAGATTAATATATATATATATATATATATATAGAGAACAAAGCAAATTGCTAGAAAAAGATTAATTTATTTGATAAATTATAATTATATAGGTAACATGAAAACAAGTAAAACTATAATAATGAAGTAGTAAATTTGTCTTTTAGTAATTTAATAATGAGATAAATCCCTACACGACCAATAATAAAAATTAAACGATAATGACATTATGTAATAAAATAACAGAAATTTAATGTAGTTTTATACTTTTTCTTTATATAAATTATGTGTCAATAATTATTCAATTTTTTCAATAATTAAGATTGCAATATATTTTTTACAATTTTTCTGAACAAAATTGATTTTTTCCCTATTAGATTATCATGCTTTTATTTGTGTATATAATGTCTAACTACACCTTCATACATATAAAATTAAAGAATTCAATTATATAATTTACATATAAGGTATACTTTTCTTTTCTTTTTCTAAAAGAAACTGTTTTTTTTTTTAATTATTAACATGTTTGTTGTTTATTGTTTAGTCCATCACATTTTGACTTTTGATCATAATTGATGACCTCAAAATTCACACGTATTTAAATATTTAAATAAGAGAAAAGTGGTTGAAATAGTAAAAGAGATAGTCATATTCAGAAATGGCAATAAATAAGTGATGATACAAATTTTATCAAACTTCAGAAATATGTTTGATATAGATAATTGATTTAAGAGTGATTTCATATATCGATCGTTCGATCTACAAAATAACCATTATGTTGCAATGATTTTGAGTTTGTGAAAAAGACTTACTGATGATGGTTTGAAGAGAGTGTCATCGACGGATTTTAACTTATTCTTATATTTGAGTGCAAGTTTCTTAGCGTGGGTCTAAGCGTGATAATTCTTGTCATTCAATAAGGTGAACACAAGACTAAGACTAGGATTTTCATTAGAATGAATAAAAAAGGAATTTAAAGGATTAATGTGAAAGTTACAATAGATTTCGAGATGCTATATAAAAATAAAGGAAAAAAAAATCAATAAACAAGATATTATTTTATTCATATTCATGTAAAAGAATTCATCTATTTTTATTAAGAATTTTTCACCTTATAAAAGAATATAAACAAGATATATATACATAATCTTACAGAAAAAATTTTCTATCGTAATTAAAAAATAATAATAATAATCGTAATTAAAAAATAATAATAATAATAACAGAATTTATCATATAAAAAACAATTACGCTGCTTGAAAGTTGCTGGAAGGAAAATCACATAATCAAATTTTAAAGGAGGAGTATACAAAAACATGCATGGTAGCATATACTATTTTCTTTGATATACACTAAGTACAAAATAGGCTTTTAACATCGGTTCTCGAGAGACTTTTAACATCGGTTCTAGAACCAGATGTAGAAAGTCTAATATTTTTATATATTTTATTTATTTTATTTATTCATAACCCCTCTCCAATTACCCTATTATCTAGAGGTCTCCTCTCCCTTTTATATTATATTTTTATTATTTATTATATTATTTATATTTTTTAGAAATTTGATTTATTTATTTTATTTATTCATAACCCCTCTCCAATTACCCTATTATCTAGAGGTCTCCTCTCCCTTTTATATTATATTTTTATTATTTATTATATTATTTATATTTTTTAGAAATTTGATTTATTATCGGATTAAGAGAATTGTCATCTGCAAGATTCGAACCCAGTACCTTAGAGTCGGAGGTCGATACTCCAACCACTAAGCTTACTAGGATTTTCCGATAATAACTTATACATAAATTATATTTATATACAAATAAAAATGTATATCCATGTAAATATATAAATATAAAATATATAAATACAAATACAAATATATTTATATATTTATATGTTGGATGTGAGGACGCACTTGAGGATGAAATTGTGTGTCGAGTGAATTTTCAAAATTTGATGTCAAATTTGTGAGCGAATATCTTTATATGAATTATAACTTAATGATAAAATATAATCTTTATAATTTATTTATATAATGATATAAAATAATTTTTTTTCTTTATTTTATATCATTATATAAATTAATTATCACTACAAGAAAAACACTAAATAGTAACGAAAATTCGGTCACTAAATGTGCAAAATCGGTTACTAATTAAAATAGTGACCGAAATAGTGACCAACTCGAATCGGTCACTATTTCCTTGGTCATCGATTTTAGTGACCGATTCGATGATCGAATCGATGACCGAATCGATGACCGATTCAAGTGATCGAATCGGTGACCAACTGGAATCGGTCACTATTTCCTTGGTCACCGATATTAGTGACCGATTCGATGATCGATATATGAGGGGATAATATTGATATATTAATATATGAGGGGATAATATTGATATATTGATATATTTGTATATATATATATATATTTATATATATTTATATATTGATATATTTATATATTAATATATTAATATATTTATATATTTATATATTTATATTTTTATATGTGCGAGGGCGTTTCGCTCGAGCGATAGGATTGTCGCTCAAGCGAAACACAACCCGAGAATGCCAATTTTGTGCGAGGGCGTTTCGCTCGAGCGAGAAGACTGTCGCTCAAGCGAAAGACATTTTAGATAAGCGGTTACACGAGAACCGCTTTGAAAGTGATCCTAGCAAAGATCTCATTGATTTGATGAAGTCAAAGATAAAGTCAAAGGTCAACTCTGCAGCGAGTCAAACAAGTCACTCGGAAGAATGGAGTCTGAAGACTTAGTGTGTCTTAACGAAAGCTTAGGTAAAACCACTTTACCTTTTCCATCGCATAAAGCTTCTTCACTCAATTTGCAAAATGCCTCAAAAATAGTTTTAAACAAATCAAACAAAAGCATTTTGACAAATAACTTTCTTAATAATGTTTTTAAGCTGATATAGTTTTAAAAGAAACGATTAAAATCACTTAGAATGTTTAAAGAAGTGTTTTTACGATATTTTAATCGATACAAACTTCTTTTAATCGATTAAAACCCTTTAGAAATCATTATGACCGATTAGATTTGATATATAAGCGATCGAACTTATTTCAATCGATTAAAACACGTTTTAATCGATTAAAATCATTTAAAGAGTCAGAATGATCGATCAGAATGCGATTATGACCGATCGAGTGATTATGATCGATCGAATTGAATTATGACCGATCAGATCTATTTCAATCGATTAAAACGTATTTCAATCGATTAAAATAACTTAGAAAATCTTTGTACGAGTTTCAATCGATTAAAACGAGTTTCAACCGATTAAAATGACTTGAAAATTCATGTGCAGTTTTTCAATCGATTAAAACTCCCTTTGTATCAGTTAAAATAACTTGGAAAGTTTTATAAGAAAGTTTTTAAACAAATCAATCGATTAAACCGCGAATCAATCGATTGAATCGCTCTTAGAAAATGTTTGAAAAATGTTTTAAGCGATAAAAACGTGGTCGTATCGACTAAAACAATTTTGTTAAAGAACAAGAACGCATTAATGGGTTGAAAGGACTTTTAACAGATTATAACGGCTATTTCAACAGATTAAAACAAACTTTCAACAGATTAAATAATGCGGCTTTTTTCTGAAAAACTCTTTTAAAAACGAGAAATTGCTTGGAATTTTTATCATATCAGTTTTACAAATTGCTTGGAAATTGTATATAAATATAATTTATGTATAAGTTATTATCGGAAAATCCTAGTAGCTTAGTGGTTGGAGTATCGGCCTCCGACTCTAAGGTACTGGTTTCGAATCTTGCCAGTGACAATTCTCTTAATTTTATAAAATGACTTTCTACATCGGTTCATCTGAGAACCGATGTAGAAAGTGTTTTCTACATCGGTTCATCTGGGAACCGATGTAGAAAGTCTTGAATCCACTTTCTACATCGGTTCTTAAAGAACCGATGTGGAAAGACCGATGTTAAAAGTGATTTCTGTACTAGTGATAGCAATCCACACACAAACAAATCCATTTCTCTCAGATTTGAAATCACCAGGACCACTCTTTAAATATACATTTCTGAATCAGGACCATGACACCGATCGCACTTCTTTCTTGTAACTTTTTCAGCTGAAAGAATGCATCAAGAGGGGCATAAAAAGCTTTATATATCTCACAATCCTCCAATAGCTAGAATGAACATTGTATCTTCTGAAGCATGTGAATCTACAATCATGGCGTGCATGAAACATGCACATGATCCCAGTGAACCTTCGGCAAAGTAACAACTAGCAACTTACAATTGATAGCAACTAATTGACACGACCAATTAGCTTTAAGGATCTGGTCAATGAAGACTGCAAGTAACTTATATTACATATCATAACTTTTTTCTTGTAAAAGCTTTTATAACATATATCATTATGATTCTCCATATAACTTTAAAGATAGGGATGAATTTGCATTATTCTTGCAATCATTCACTGTACCTAGCTATATAATGAGTTGAATTCATTTAATTCTTGGTGAATATTCCCTTTTCTTTTTCCAAAATATGTAGCTTCATGCACAGCTTCCTCACCATGACATCCTATTTTTTTAGTTGTATATATATAACACTGAAATTGGATGAAAATGTGGTTGTGTGGTCCGAACTCTTTTCACGGACATGTCGGTAACATTTCATTACATCATGCATGCCAAACAAACTATCCCTTTTTCCTTCTTCTTATTAAGTCGAGTTAGGTATGATTATTATTCTCTAGAGAGATCTCTCTCTCTTCTTTTTTTTCAATTTTTAATGTAAAGATTAAACTATTTACATTAATTAATCTTCACATGTGGTTATTATAATAACTTTTTTCTCTCTGTATAGTATAAAACAATTAACTCGATTTGATTTAATATTCGATTCAACAACCAAACTCACGGAAGAAATATTCTTACGATATTCTGCAGAGTTTTTAACTTTCATGCTTCTTCACTGTCCTCCACCTTCATGTACTACTTCAAGTTGGGTACTGCCAATAATTAAAACATTAATTTCCAATAATCGTGGCTTTTATGAAGAAGTTAATACTGTTGCTAAAGATTCAGCTTCTTACCAAACATATTTTGCTGGATAATTTAATTATATGATTAATTATGTTTTACAACATTCGTCATGTGCAATACGGAAATTTTTTAGTTTAAATAACTTTTACATTATCATAAAAAGATAAAGTTACTCTCTCTCTGTACAAATTACAAATATGTTTATGAATAACAATTACCGTAACCATAAAAGAAATGTTGAATTTTTCAAAAACGGCGTTGGGATTTAGCACGGGCCGTTGCAATCAGGGTTGGGATTGGGCTGGTGAACAACAGAAACTCAAGGCCGAAACAAATGCATCATAGCTATTTATTGGCCCAATTTTTCTTTATACATGTAAATGTTGAAACAAAATGTTATCGATTTAACTTCTCTTAAGTTATTCCACACAATGATGATGTTAACTCATGTAATGAATTTTTAATTGGATTATTAGTTGTAATGATTAAATTAAGAATGCAGTAGATGTATATTGAACATATTAAAAACTGAATTTGAAATTTAATAACTAAATTAAAATGTTTCTGAAATAATTTACCTTTTACCTCTGTTCACGTAGATGCTTTGTTAGATTCTAGTTGAAGTGAGCGAGTGCAAATAAACGGACCTTGTTGTTACGGTTTACCATTCGATCGGGCGGATCTTGTAGATAACTGAGGAAACTGAGGAGGAGGAGACGAGATTCTTTCCAAGAAGTTTTATAACTCCTATATAATATAATTTATAATTTTATCCTTTTATTTTTTTATCTCCTTACTTTCTTTTATATTTATTAATAATATATTATTTCAACACAAAATCAATCTTGAATATCCGCCACTGATTCGATCCACTTCTGATTCAGTTAATACCACTCATTCATTGTATAAAATCTTAATAACACGATTCCATCAAGCTTGAAATGCCGCTCTTACACTCCATCGAACTCGAACACTTTTTCTGCTTTGCCTACCGTCACCGTCGCATCTCGTAGTCCCAAAACCCAAGGAAGGAATACATACTCAATACTCAATAGATCTCATCTTCGTAAGAAGCCTAAACCACCGGCGTCACCATTTCATTCGCCACCAAAACAGCGAAAACCGACAGAGAAGCAAGGACGGTTAGAACCGTACCCACGCGCCGCCGCAGACGACAGAGAAACGGCAGGCTTCGTCAACCTTCTCCGACTGCCAGGTTAGTAGAAGAATAAATATAATGAGTTCAATTTTGTATCATTGAATATGTAAATCATTTTATCAATATTCATGAGTTTAATTTTGTGTACTGTTTAACTAATCAGAGTAAATAAGAGTCGATTTTGATGTGAGGACTTCTAAACAAAGTATTTTTAGGTCAGGAGTGAAAGAACCTTATGGCGGAAGGCGATCTGATTTTGGATAACAGTCTAAAAACAGTATATATTTTATATATTTTCTGTTGCTAAAAGGATATTGTGTATATATTTCTTCAATAATTCGTATGAAGTGAAAAAAACTATTACTATGTATATATAGCTAGCTGTAATAGGAAAAAAATATAAATATTTTAAAATCCATTTTGATAATTACAACTTAAAATCCATTTTTATTTACAGTATTTAAATAGCATTTCTACCTTTTAAAAAACATCACTTTTCTAATATTTATTATACAAATAAATCACACCACTGTAAAATTTATGTTAACCATTACCAAATTTATATAATTGCATTAATCTTAAAATTAATTCCATCAACATGCATTCAATCATGCACCAACTCTTTAAATTTTAAGAGTTTAACTTTTATATTGTTAAGGTAAATCTTTTTATATTATTAATTAGTAAAAATATTTAAAGTATGAGTTTAAAAGTAATTATTTAAAACGTGGCAAAACTATTATTTATGTTTACAAAAATTAGATGATAGTATAAAAATATTTATATTTTGATTATAACTTTCATGTTTCGATTTTTTTTTATTTTTATGATTGATCCTTTAATAATAGGTATAGTGATTTATTATTGTTGATAAGGATTAAAATAAAAGGTTTATAAACCAAATTTTTAAAATATAGTTTTAAAGTTAAAATAATTACGAGAGAAGATAATTTTATTCTGTAACAATTTATTAACTTTGAAAAGAATAAAAGGAAATAAGTTAGAGGAAAAGAACCCACGTTTAAATAAGAAGAAGAATAAGGAGAAAATAATGTAAAAGAAAAAGAATGATCATAATATATTAGTCGAAAGTATTTGATTTTGTTGCTGTAAAAAGCATAAAAAGAAAAAGATACGTTTAAGAAACATGAAAGAGTAAATAATGACAAAACATAAAAATAAACAAAGAAGAAAGTACTGAAAATACTCAAGAGTGTTTTAAGACAGACAAAAAATGTTAATAATTTAAATTTTTGTATATTATAAATATCTAATAACATATTATAATAATTCTTTATTTTTTAAACTATTTGTTAATAATATATACATTTTTATAACAATTAAATTCAAAGTTTAGGGTACTGTAAACGTTTTAAATTTTTCTTTTTAAACTTTATTACTGTATTATGGATATATATATATATATATATATATATATATATATATATATATATATATATATATATATATATATATATATATATATATATATATATATATATATGAAATGAAACTTTTTCCTCGAAGTCAAACGGTGTTTTCTACTCCTTCACACATACGCAAGAGAAAAGAAGAGGAAGAAAAAACCATCATTGTATCTTCATAGTTGTTTTATCTTCTCCGGACCTTGCCTTGGTTATCGGTAGTTGTTTAACCTGAATTACATGTATTCAAACTTCTGCACTTCTGTTTTTTCTTTTTCGCGGCCACGTTGCTTATTTGGAATTTTTCTGTCCATGTTATTCACCACTTTTTCTATCAATTCAATTTTCAGCGGCTAAACTGGATATACAATGTTTGTTTTGATCTTCTAGTTTTTTTGTTTTTTTTTTTGTTTTTAATTATCGTGAATACTTTTGTTTAGTATAAATCAAATTTTTAACCCTTTAGCAGTGAGCATGCGAGTAGATATAGAGTTGTTCTTTGTTAACCAGTAGTCTTGAATTTGAAAATATATCTGATCTGTACCAAAACAATTTTAATCATGTAATCATACTCTTTTCATTTACTGGTGGTTTAGTCTTAGATTCATGTTATTTCTTCGGGAACATGAGAACGTGGGATGGAAGTTGCATATGCTATACATACTTAAATAATGCATGTGCAGTGTACAAAAGGAAGTTTCTTTTAGTTTCAGTTTTTCATGACTGGAATTAAATAATATGCTTATATTGGTCATTCTCATATCTTCCTATTTCTGCAGCTCATTAGCTCTGATACCAAGCACACCATACAAAGGGTCACTAGGAAAGTTACACCTTCCCATAGCTGCAAGTGACATCATTAGTGAATATTGTTAGTTTAATGAACAACCCAGAAGGACAACAGAGTTAGAACTTATTGAAAATGTTGAACTTGTCCTGGCTCCTTAAAACTTGGTATATTGAAGTGCCTTCTCTATTCCAGCAGGTGAATGCGCAGCTGGAATCGAGAATGCACACTGTTAGTTGATAAACTGAAAAATGAAATTAAATAGAAGGGATTTGCATGCTTCAAAATATTTAAGAGGCTTCCTATACTAGAATAATGAAACATTACGAGGTTTTATTTGGTCTCCCTTTTACTTCAGTTAAGCCTATGGAACAATAGGTGTTTTTGTTTCTAGTAGTATGTATATTTTATTGTAATCCTGAACTATTATAAAATCATATTGTTTTTGCTGGCTTATTTTTCTATAAATATAATCATATACATCATTTGCAGACTTCATTTGGACAAAAGACAATGGAGTGGTAGAGGATAATCAACCTTGGGAGCCGAGTATATTAAGATTGCTGTCATCTATACTGCGATTATAGTGTTACTTGCATTGTTAATTTACCTAAATAACTAAAAATATATAGGATGAAACCCCTCAGAGAGCAAAATGAAAGAGTAGTTTGTGACATACCAAAGGAAGATATAAAAAATATTATGAATACTGAGTCAACTGTATTAGATGAAGCAAACAGTGTCAGACAAGTTTCTCATAGTGATGAAATGAGGAAGTTTTCTGTTTCTGCCATATATAAAGAAGATAGTCAAAAAGCTTTGCGAATTTCTTTAGCTGGACCATCAATTGTGTATTTGAAGAAAAAGCTTATTGTTCTTGATTTAAATGGGCTGCTTGTGGACATTGTTCCCCCTCCAAAGCATCGTAAAGCAGATGCAACCATAGGAAGGAAAGCATGTGAGAAACAACTCTGTTATTCTACTTTTCTACACTAAGAGGTTGTGGCGTATGCATGCTTTACTGATTACGTTTGTGTTTAATTTCAGTATTCAAGAGGCCTTTTTATCTTGACTTCCTGAACTTCTGCTTTGAGAAATTTGAAGTGGCTGTATGGTCTTCAAGAACCAGGTATTCTTCAACCATCTTTTCTAAAATGTCACTTAAAAACTTACGGTGTTCACTTTGTCTGCATTATCGTTTCAGTAACCCCCATTTTCTTATGGTGATGTTTTATCTGTGGCGTATTAATTTTTTATGTTACTATTTTGTAGGAAAAATATCGACACTGTCATTGATTATTTGATGGGAAATATGAAACAAAGGTTGCTTTTTTGTTGGGTAGGTATTTTATCCGTTATCTCTGAACTCATTTGGCTACTCTTGTTCTTCATTTTCAAATAATTTGTCCTCTGGAGAACCTGTTTTAGTATATTTCATACATATTTCAATTTTAGGGACTATACAGATTTTCTGTTGTACAATTCTATTCTCGGTATCTTGCCACTCCGCGTGGAAATTAAATTTAAATAGTGATTTTCTCTTCTTCACCCTCTTTAGGTGTTTGTTTTATGCAAGGCATGAGATTCCATTAACTTGCAAGCATTATACTTCTGCACAATTTAGAATGTTATTTTATCATGCCATGGTGCGGTGATTCGTTCATTCTTGATTTATTAGTTCTTCGACCACATCATTTGTTTTTGGAGTTACCTTAAGATGATGGCCTACTTTCATCTCATTAAATGTTATTGATTTTGTAGGATCTTTCTTATTGTACTGAAACAAGTTTCAAAACTCTTGAAAACAACTTCAAGCCATTGGTTTTGAAGGATTTGAGGAAAATCTGGGAAAAGCATGATTCTAATCTTCCATGGGAGAAGGGATACTATAATGAATCGAATACATTGCTGTTGGATGATTCTCCATACAAGGCATTACTTAATCCTGTAAATAACTAGTTCTATCTTTCTTTCCTTTTTCCAATTCTCATTCAATAATATCTAAATCACCTGCATATGCATATTTCTCCCAATTATTTACTAACTTGCTCTTGAATGTTTAAATAAATTATTTTAGCCATACAATTCCGTGTTTCCGCACACATTCAAATTTCAGAATCAAAGCGACAATTCACTAGGTATGGTACAAACTACAAAATGACCTTCTAGTTTATATTTGCTTGAGTCTTGGCTAGATTTTGCTAATGGACCAAGTGAATTTGACTGATTTTGTTCGTTCTGTAGGGCTTCTCTATTCTCCTGTGAACTTAAGCTTTCATTTAACATTTGACTTGAACTCATTCTAGAATCTGTATGGCATACATACATAGTAACTTAACCTAGTGATTAATCTTTATACCCTTTGACTTAAACTAGGATTTAATGAGGAACAAAACTTGCATGGTGTACATATTTTGTTTTCAATTATATGTAAAGTTTCACTGTGATAATATGCCTCTTATTAAATACAGTACATATTATTGAAGTAATAATTTAAATAAGGTAGGACATGAATATTAATGATTGAAGTAGTAATTTAAATATGATTGGACAACAGCACCAACAGTACCATAGGTATTGTATACATGGTTTCTCTTTTAATGAGAGAAGTAGTAGTCCTTTTTGTGCATTATAATTTTTCAACCACAGAAAATGCATTATATCATTTGTTTTCTCGTTGAAGCACGATTTTGTAGTCTGATCGGTGTACGCTCCCTTTTATGATTTCCAAAGCTTATGCAAGGTTTTATTTATTAATCACAAATGAATTATCACAGCTGCTGGAGGCGATCTGCGACGATATTTGGATGGATTGGCAAATGCTGAAAATATGCCAAAGTATGTTGGGCGACACCCATATGGTCAAAAACCTATCAATGAAACAAGTCAATCTTGGAACTTCTACAGCCAAGTTCTCGATAGTCTTTCTACCTGTCAACCTGAGAAGTGAAAAACAGGTGTCTATTTTAATGTTTACTCTGCCAACTAAAATGGTCACAGATTTCCAAGTAGTCTTTTCCTTTTATATTTTCCAATTCTTCAACCTTATAACATCCTACGAAACATTTTATATGGAAGAAAAGCTGTAACAGCAAGCTGGTTTTTGGAATACGAGGGTGGATCAAAACTGAAGTGGTCTTTACATTGAATTTTTATTGTTTTTAGTGTTTTTCAATTGTTATACACTCGTTATATTTAATATATAGGAACATCTGCGTACACAAATTAGACAACAACCTCGTTAAAAAGTTACCTGTTTATTAAGTAACTAAATTAATCCATTACTATAGCATCTTGACTATGGATTATTAGTTACAAGAACTGCAAAATCTTAAAATTTCTGTCGTTAGTCTTGTAATGGGTTTAATACATCGGATTTCCTAAATTATTTTGGGACTATATATGTCGCGTTAGGGTTCTTAAGATTGGTCAAATCGTATCTGTTCTTAAAGTTACTTAGGTCCACTTCACGTGGAATGGGCCAAAAATTTATTGGAAACCATCAGCCCATTAAATTATAGGACGAAGGCACGCAAGTTCCTATTTAATGTGGATCAGTTTGTGTCAAACGATGGTAAGGGCTATTCCCTAGTCATTTGGAAGCATGATTTTGAAAGGAAAAGAGACAGGTTTCAGTGTAAATGTGTGTATGATTAATGAGCCTTAATGCTCCTGCTTCATGATATTTCGTTTTCCATTAGTACTATGCACGTGAAAATCTTCTTATCTCTGACAAATCTAGCTAGCTACTACTAGCTCGTAGCCACTTTATTTTTATTAAACCGAATAGAATAACTAGTAGCCAGGTTTTGTTATGTGACTGGCACGTTCTAAGTCATTTTTGTGCAATTCCGTGATCGAATAAAATGTTTAGATTTCCAGCTAATGTACGAGTAAATGCTGAATGCTTTAATAATTCATGATAAAACCATTGGGTTTGCAAGATTACAACGGAATGAAATCCATCCGTCAACCATAGTTAAGAAAAAGAAAGAATTTATAGGTGCTTTAACCTAATACATCACTTGTGTGCATGACAAAAACTGTACCAACTAAAATGTTACATTGTGTATAGTAAATAATTTTGCCAGCGGATTATTGTAAATATATAAAGAAATATATTAAATTATTATTAAGTTTAAAAGAATTAAAATTATAAATTATATAAAAATTATATAATTATAGAAAAAATAATTATAAATATATATTTAAATATATTAAATGATTATTAAATTTTAAAATTAAAATTATAAATTATATAAAAATTATATGTTTTATCTATTTTTAAAATAATTTTAAATATTTTTTTTGAAATTAATTAAAAATAAAAATTAATTAATTTTAAATGATTTTATTATAGTATAGAGAGCGCGCAAGGTTTTGTTTGTCGATGATGATGACAGCTTGAGGTTGTAGTAGGAATCGAATTGATCAGTTCCGTTGAGCACGCCATTGTACGATTTCCAAATCATTATCTTTGGCGCACCTCCTCACTCTTTCTTTCTTTCAAAATCCTTTCTGTATAACTTAAAATCGTATATTCAAATGCTAATGTGATCATAATCTTACATTATGTTTCAATAACTTATTCATAAATTAAGCAACTTATATTTTTATTTTATTTTTTATTTACATTAACTTAAATTATTATTTCTATATTTATAATTAAAAATAATAAAATAAAATTTAATTTAATAGAAAAAAATTAAAAAATTACTACCAGTAGAAGTAGTTGAATTATAAACAAGTGGATTGTACTTTATGTGATATGGTAAGTTATGTTATGGGAGTTGTAAGTCCAATATGATAAAATTCGGACTTAAAAGAAGAATAACGTGGTGAATATTTAATTGGATTTTGAGACAGAATCGTAATTTTAAAATTAATCTAATAACAAAGACTACAAAACCTTATATTAGTGTGCATACAGAGGGAGAGAGTGTAGATGGAAAAAAAATATTTATCTCTTTCAATCACCATCTTTAATATTTTTTATAATTAATTAAATTTTCATGATTAAATTTATAAAAAAATACATCAAATAGTTGATACATGTATAAATTAAATTTTTCCATGGGAACAAAGAACAGAATAGATTCTTCTTATTTAGGACCAAAAATATTGTGACCTTCAAAGTTGGGGGCATTGAAGATGAAAACTTTTGTTTATGGTGATTTTTTTTATTCTAATACTCTTAAACATATTGAATTAAATAGAAACATTTGTTTATATGCAATCAAATACACAAAATATTACTCCACGTGACACCTATTATTGAGATCAACTTTACGTGCTCTTCATCTTTTCTCATTTTGTATAAAAAATTTGAGAAGTTAAGGATCAATGATCAATAACCTAGCTAGGTCCACACTCCTCCACGTACGTGTGATTACTTTGGTATTTATTTTACCACTTGTCAAGTGTTGAAGCTCATTCATTCCTTCTTCATCTTCTTCCCTCAAAATATTGGGAAAGAAAGCCAAGAACATTGAATTATCGGAATTGAGTAAGAAACGTGCAAGAGAAATAAGACATGATGAGTTATAAGTTTGAAATTGAATGCACATGGTAGATTTGAAAGGCTGTCCTCTCATGTGATATGATACAGTAGGATAAGATAGAATCAAGATTCTTTCTCTAACAATATGCTCGGTCCCTTTTTTAATGGTTACATCATCTCCACACCCTTTTTGGCCACTCCTTTTATATGTTAATAACATTCAATTAACATCAACATCTTTCATTTCTTCCAAGTCAAGAATCATCATCATCCTCTCTAGTTCTTTTTTTCCAATGATAATGAATACAATTCATTACTAACAAATACTATAGGATTCACTATCACCCAAGAAACATACATAACTATTATTTCATAACAACAATCCTTTAATGAGCCAAACAAGTCTAAGATTAACAAACGCTTTAACACTACACTCTTAAATTTTTGTCTTAAAATATCGAAACTAGGTTATTGTATATATATATATATATATATATATATATATATATATATATATATATATATATATATATATGTTAGATGCTTATACATGTTGCATTCATAAATAGTTATACAATGTTGATAGCATTTCTCTTCATTAGCTTGAATGAAACTAATTTTTGGGTGAATTAAGAAGATATTAAATATGGTGGACATGGATCATGTGATAATGTGTGAGGGAGAATAAAGAGAATGTAGATTGCTTAGTGAGTGGATGGGCATGGGCATTGTTGAAAAGTAAGGAAGCTCGTGATGGTCCACTTTTTGCATGTGGTTGTGCATCCCTTTTCAAAGTTCCTCTTCAACCCTCCTACCTTCCATTCATTTTTATCTTTCCATGCAGGTCAAGTACAGAACCATCTTTTTAATCTATTACATCTTTAACCCATCTATTTTTCTCAACATATACATCGTGATTGTGACATTTGGTTATGCTTTTTTGTTTGGAGATGTTGTGAGATTTCTTTGTGTTACAGAAAGACATTTATGTATTTTTGTTAGAACTATAACATCAACTTTTTATTTGAAGGACAGAAATTAAATATAACTCTTTAAATATTTTCGTCTTGGTTCTCCAATTTTGAAACAAGCATTTAATATAAATATTTGTTACATAGATTTACCGTAATGAAACGGCAACTTCATTTGATAAAAATAAAATAAAATTGGACCACAATCTAAGACATACAATTTGGTTCAGATTGAACTTTTTGAGCTCTAAACCGACCGAACCTATTTGTGCTAAGTCATTGAGATAAGTCTTTCAAAGTTATGTGGTTTTGATTCTACGTTCTTTTTTTTTTCCCCTAAAAAATATGACAATTAATACTACTCATTAAAAATGTCACATAATCAAATTTCTATTAGGTATATATCCTTTAACTTTTGGTATCTAAATATCATGATTGTAAATTAGTTCCATTAGCATTTTTAGTGAAAGACTATCATTTATTACCTTGACAGATAAAATGTGCAGATCTCCAGTTTAAGGTAGAAGCTACTAGTAGATTATGTATGTGCAAAATTATGATCACTATAGAAATTACTCTTTCTGGAACACTCAAACTTCTCAAGGAAAACTACATTTTCCCTCTCATATTTATTTTACAATGCTAAAAACAAAGTTATATATAATCC